CCTGAAATGAAAAGTGACTAAGACAGATACTGAATACTTTTTCATATGTACTTTGGCCTCTGCACTTCTTTTGAGAACTCCCTGTTCAATCTATTTGTCCATTTATTGACTGGGCTACTGGGGCTTTGTGGGAAAGGTTAAATTTTTTGAGTTCCTTATATATTCTAGATACTGATCATCTATGAGAAGAATAGCTAGCACAGATCTCCCATTCTGTGGGCTGCCTGTCTCTTCATTCCATTGACTGTTACCTTTGTTGTGCAGAAGCTTTTCAATCTGAAATATCCCACTTGTTGATTTGTGATTTGCTGTGCTAGTGGAGTCCTATTCAGGAAGTTTCTGCCTGGGTCTGTGGTTTCCAATATTTCGTCTCTGTCTTAGTTACTTTTTACTCGTTGCTGAGACAAAATACCTGAAGCCCAAGTTGGGAAAGGAAAGGTTTATTTCTTACAGTTTTTAGAGGTTTCAGTGCACACTCAGTTGGCTCCAAGGCAGGCAGGCATGGCTGGACCGCAGTTCATGGCGGCTGCCAAAAGCAAGACAGGAACCAGCCAAGAGAAAGATACACCTTCTTCCTGCCATTACATCACATCCTAGCTCCACCCCTATGTGGGTGGAGCACTGACACCATCAATCCAAGCACTATACAGAATCTTTTTTTTGGTCTTTTTCCTTTTTATCAGTACCAGGGATCGAACTCAGGACTGCCTGCTTGCAAGGCAGGTGCTTATGCCGCTAGGCTAAATCCCCAGCCCCCCAAGCACTATACAATGAACCATCACAAATGCACAATGCAAACTCATGAGGCCTGGAGGCCATAGACATAAACCATGACATTCCACCCCTGGCCCCCAGGACTCATGTACATCCTTTATACAAAAGACATTTAGTCCACTTCCAGGAGTTGCCAAAGTCCTAACAGCTTCAGCATTGCTGAAAAGTCCAAGTCCCAAGTCTCCTCCAAGATCTATGGTAAACTCTTAACTGTAACCCCCTGTACAAATGAAACAAGGTTAAACATTTCTGAAATGCAAAAGCACAAGACAGACATTATCATTTCAAAAGTTACAAACAGGGGAATACAAAGCATCTCAAACAAAGCAAGTCCAGCATCCAGTAGGACAAACATTAAGTCCCAGAGTTCCATGCTCAGCATCTGAAGCAATCTGGTTACAAGCTCCAAAAGGCTTGGGTGATTCCACCCCCATGGCACTTCCAGGGATATCAACTCCAGCAGCCTCTCTCTTAAATCCTCTCTGCTCGCTTTTTGCAGCTTTCCTTGGATCACCCACATTCCTGGCTTTTCCAAACTTCTGGGGTCTCCACTGTACCTTTGGCTTCACCTTTACACCTTCACAAATTTCCCTCTCAGGGGCACACTGCTTGGCCAGCCAGGCCCTTTGCAATCGAGGTGGAAGCCGTCTTACCCTCAGAATTTGTGCATTTTCCTTGCTCCTAAAATCAGTACCTTGTAGATGCCGCCAAGGTCTGCTGCCAGCTGGAGCAGTAGCCAGGCTTTTCTCTCTCTTGGCTGTAGGGATCAGTTGTCTGGATCACAGGGTTCTGTTTACCTGATTGTGATGAAAAGCTTCTCTGTGTTGCCACCATTCTGGAAACTCATGTGGCCTCTGTCGCCATTCTGGAACCTCACGTGGCCGCTGTCGCCATTCTGGAACATGGCGCTCTGCAGCTTTTCCCTCTGAGCAAATTCTTTCACCTTTGTAGTGAGGCTGCACAGGGTGGGGACCACTTCTTGGGATGCCCCGGGGCCATCTTTCTTATCTCTCTGTTTCTCCTCAGGAATCAAAATCTCAACTGTGTCTTTATAATCCACAGCTTTCCTAGAATTTTCTTTCTGGCCAAACTCACAGTATTGCAAATTATCCTGCTGGGCTCTTATCTCTTGATTTGCATAAAGCTGGCTAAAAGCCCCCAACAATAGCCCCGTCACAGACTCAATATTCGATTGCTTTTTAATTTCCTTTTCAAGATTAATTAGTCCATTGCCCTTTGTCTCAGTCTCAGGCAAAGTCTCTGGGCAGGAGCAAAATGCAGACAAATTTTCTGCCAAGCCATAACACACATCATATGGAGCCCAACAACCAATACAGTCCTTCTTCCCAGCAGAAACCTCCCAAGCCTGGTCTTTACCACCAGGCTTTCTATCAGCCTTCTGGTCTTCTGAACTCTGACCAGAATCTCCTCTACAGAACAGCTTAAGCTGCTCCAGCTCTAAGCATCCAGGCGACATTTCCGAACCTTTCCAAATTCTGTCCACAAACCATTTCCAACACCTCTCGAAAAACATGGTCAGATATAGTCACAGCAAATGACCTCACTCCTTGTTACCAAATTTTATCTTAGTTACTTTTTACTCGTCGCTGAGACAAAATACCTGAAGCCCAAGTTGGGAAAGGAAAGGTTTATTTCTTACAGTTTTTAGAGGTTTCAGTGCACACTCAGTTGGCTCCAAGGCAGGCAGGCATGGCTGGGCTGCAGTTCATGGCAGCTGCCAACAGCAAGACAGGAACCAGCCAAGAGAAAGACACACCTTCTTCCTGCCATTACATCACATCCTGGCTCCACCCCTATGTGGGTGGAGCAATGACACCATCAATCCAAGCACTATACAATGAACCATCACAAATGCACAATGCAAACTCATGAGGCCTGGGGGCCACAGACATAAACCATGACAGTCTCTCTTCTCGTTCAGCAGTTTCAAAGCTTCTGGTTTGGTATCTAGCTCTGTGTCTTTGTTACTTTTCTTACTGATGACAAAATCCCCGAACTCAAAGTTACAGGAGGAAAGGTTTGCAGAGATTTCAGTCCATATCAGCTGAGTCCAAGGCAGGGCAGACAGGCATGGCAGGGGAGAAGCAGCTCATGGTGGGCAGAAGGCAGCAGAGCAGCAGAGCAGCAGCAGCAGCCTCCTCCTCCCTTTTATCCCATGCAGGCTGTTTGTCCTCTGGGTGGTGCCTCTCACACCCAGCGTGGGCCTTCCCATTACCCACCCAGAGCACTAATTTAGTAACCACACACCCTTAACCCCAACACCACACGCCCTAGATCCAGCCACCTCTGGAAGACCCCACCACATGAGGTTTGAGGGGATGTTCAGACACAGGCCATGACATCTGATCCATCTGTTTGACTTTAGTACAGGGAGAGAGAGGGATCTGGTACAATCTACAAATAGATCTCCAGTCTTCACAGCACCATCTGCTAAGGAGGCTTTTTCTCTAGCATGGGTCTTTTGCTGCTCAGCCAGCACTTAGCTGGCTAGAGGTGCATAGCTTGTTTCTGAGTCTCCCGTCCATGCTACACCAAGTTGTCCTCTCACTGGGGCTTTACAGTGGAGGGCACTATGATGCCTCTACTGCTGCTCTTCAAGCTATTTCAGTCTTTTCTTATCCATATGAATATTAACATGTTCTCTCCTACTTCTGTGAATGCTGCTAGCATTTTAACAGGCACTACATTGAATCTGTAATCACCACTGGAAATACGGCCATTTTAATAACCCATGAACAAGGAGGTCTTTCCACTTCCTGAAGTCAACATCAGTATTCAGCATTCTCTAGTCTTCAACATAGAGGTCTTTCACGTTCTTGTTTAGGTTGATTCCTATGTATTTTTTTCCAATTCCTTGTGAATGGAATCATTTTCTTGATTTCTTTTGCAGCGTTACTGGTATATGGGAAAGGTACTTATTTTTTGTGATTCTGGTTCCTGAGTTATTTTTTCAAAGTACTGTTTTCACCACTAATCTACTTCATAGTATTTCAAAATCAAAAGGTCCTTTATCTTCTAACATTCTATAAGGTCCACTTAGTAGAATTAAAAGATCCAAAAATTCCAGCATAGAAAATGGTCAACTGGATATGGCAACGAAATCTGCTATTATGAAAGTAATGTAATGCCAGGAGTAGTGGTACATGTCTGTAATCCCAGCACTAGGGAGGCTGAGGCAGCAGAATTTATGTGAGTTCGAGGTCAACCAAGACTACAAAGTGAGTTCAAAGCCAGCCTAAACTACACAGTGAAACCCTGTCTCAAATAAAGAAAAGAAAGTAATGTAATATAATAAAAAGTGAGAAATTTTTTTATTACCATCATTCTCTTTTTTTGAGGGGGGGGCAGAAATCAAATTCAGGGCCTCATGTTTGCCAGGCAGGCACTGTGCCATTGAGCTATATCCCTGGCCCTATCACTATTCTTAAATCAAGTAAATATCATGGTATATAATTTGCTACAAAAATTTCTAATCACTAGCTACAATCAACAAAAGGAAGGGAGGATTATGACTCAATCTTTAGATAACATAACATTTATATTGGTACTTTAAAAAAATTCTAATATTAAAAATCTCTAGAGCAAAGCTGGTGAGGGATACAGTGGAAAAAAAGGCAAGATGGAATCACATATTCCTTAATCCACTCAAAAAAGCATCAAGAACAGGAGTGTTATTACAGGTCAGTGATGGCGACACTTTTCGAGCTTTCCACAGCACCCCTGTGGCAATGCATGCCATCAGCTCTCCACCACTGTCATCGGTCATACACACAGCACTGCAGGAGAATTTCCAAAATGGCTATCGGGAGGTTTTCTCTTCAAGACAGACAATGTAAACCAACTTCTGAATAACATTAACATGTACTATCCTTCCAAATGACTCAATTTACCACTTTCCAATGATGTAAATCACATTAAAAGGCAGAGGATAACAGAATTCTGGTGGCCAAGTCAGTTCTGCACATAAAGGAACTAAAAAGGAAGAACCTGTAAGCCACACTTGCTTCCACACACCAAGTGAAGCAATTATTCCACATTATGTCTTTGCAGGTGTGGTATTTAGCAACAGTAAACAAGTCTGCTGAGTCACGTTGTATTAACAACTGCACTATTATGGAATAACCAAAGCATAGGATTTCTGATGTAGTCCTATGAATAATGAGAGCTCATAAAAGGAAATAAAATTTAAAATTTAGTATGCTTACCTCAACCACCCAGGGACTACTGGCAAAGGCCATAATGTCTCTTTCTTCCCAGAAAAAAGCAGCATCTGATCTTTTGATCATTTCAAACTTACTAAGCAGCTTCATAGCATAAACCTTCTGTGATGCCTTATGACGAACCTGTGGATTTGTTAAAACACAAAAATTAATTCTTTAAATGTATGGGAATAAGTGATCAGATCATACCATGATGACTCCAACTGCAAAACAAAATGATCCTTAACTACTATACCTAATAAAAAGTAAACCATATTACTACATGTGTAAAAGAATTGAAGGAAGAAAGTTGTAACAGCTTAAATCTTTCATGCGATGTATAATAGCTTTCAATACCAGGTTCAATATGCAACTTATCTGAGCATGGCGGTGCACACCTGTATTCCCAGCACTCGAGGTGCTGAGACAGAAAGATGACTGAGAGTTCAAGGCCAGCCTGGGCCACAACATAAGACCCTGTCCCAAAACAAACAAAATAAGAATAAACTATTAATAAATGGGAAATGTCCAAGATAGATCTCCCAGGGAAAGTCATTTATTTTAGCTTGAAGCACCAATGCATATCTATTTCCATCTGGAAATGCAAGTCTAATACATTTAAAGCTAAAAGGATATCTGCAGTTTTATTAAGTTACATTTATTTCTTTCTAGGTAGCTTATCTTAAAATGTTATTTTTTGTTAAAGGAAAATTACCAACAATTTTGTTGCTTGGTTAATTCCTATCTTTCCCATTAGACTATAAATTCCTTAAGAGAAGTAACACTGTTTTTGATTACTCTTTTAATTCCCAGAACTGGTTATTAACTGTCTACCACAGAGCCAACAGTATTTCAAATATGATAAACACAGTTAATATGCATTCAATAATCAGTAATAAAGTAACAACTGCTAACATTTATATCTAGGTGTCTAACAGGATATCCTGACACTCAAACTCCTTATCTTCACCCTTGAATTTATTCCTTCTACAATCGTTCCCATTTACAAAAATAGCAATTCTATCCTTCCAGTTACCTGGGCTAAAAGGACCCTCTGATTGGAACATCATGTCATTTCCCCCTTTGAGCTGCTTCCGAATCCAGTGACTTGTAACTGTGCTGCTGCCCTATCTTTGGTCCCAAGCTGCTCCAGTGCCTGCCACACACTCCCAGTGCCTGTGTCACCTTGCTTTTGCACCATTGTGCACAGTAACCATTTACATCGTTTTACTCGTCACCTATCTCAGCACTAGAATTTAACCTAATGAAGGCAAATATGCATTTTATTCACTATTTAGTTCCCGTGCCTAATACAGAGCCTGACACATAATATTCTTTCAATAACTCTTCTCTGGAAGAATGAATTTACTGAGTACTCGGTAGTATGTGTCAGGGACTATACAATGTGATGTACGTATTCATCTTCAGAACAGTCCTAACGAGGTGTTATTTCCCCATTATAAATGGGAAACGTGAGGTACCGTAATGTAAACTTGCCTGAGGACCATACACATTGCAGTCTGAAAGTCAGTCTGCATGCAGAATCCATGCTAGTTCTACAAATGTAAGCTCACAGTTAGGACAATTTCCAAAAACAAAGCCAGATGACATCAGTCAACCTGACATTCCACACCAATCTGTGGCCAGTCTGTGGTCACCTTACTTAGAGCTGAAAGAAAAGAAGCTAAGAGGAGCCCAAGCTGCTGGCCACAATCCACTGGGTCCCTAATGGTCTAACCTATGTTCACCTCACCAAATGAAATTTTGCCACTTTCATTCTTAGCATGTTTCAAGCACACACAATCTCCTTTCAGTGCTTCTGCTACACCAAGACTTTCCTGGGGGTCCTTACAGCACTGAGCGCCTCAGAAACCCAGCTCACACTCTCCGCTCTCCTTAGCCACTCAGTTGAGATATGAACGCCTCAAAGCTTCCGCTGGCCACCCAATTGCATCTCACTGAGCTCTACCTCAGAGCTCTACCTCATTTATCCCGTGTTTCTCCTAGGTATACCACAATCTGTAATTTTTAAATGTTGTTTCTTTGTATTTCTTGCCTGTCTTTGATGTTAGAATGCACACTCAGCAACAGTAGGGATCATTTATGCTTGTTCTGTTCTCAACTATATCCGCAGAGCCAAGTTCAAAGCCAGCATTAGGTATGAGATACACTAATTAAACACTTGAATTTGGAATTAATAACAGCTAGAAAAATTTTTTAAACCTGATGGCTGGCCAGACTATAAATTTCTAGTTTTAAGAAAGATTCAACAATATTTTGTATTACTTCTTTCTTGTCAAATACTACACATCTGGAACTAATACTTATATGATGAAAACAAAGTAAACCAAAGGGGGACACTATCTTCCCCCAAGGAGACAGGAAAGAACAATCATACTTTTGGATCAAATGCTATATAAAATATGACAGAATTTTGGAAAATTATAAAATGTCAAAAAATAAAAATAAAATGTGCTTATTTATGAAAGAAAGCTTTCTTCCATAACAAAGCCCAGATAAGAACTTTTGAGTAGACTTGAACAAACCAACAACAGAGAACAGATACAGCCTAGCGTGATACAGTGAACACCTGTCATTCACTTGTGTGTACTTATGGCTCTTGAGGAAGGACTTGGCAGTAGCACTGCTCCCACTGTGAACAACCACCAAAACACAAGCAGCAACTGCTTCTGGGATCCCACAAGGGCACAGAAAGCTCTAACCAAGGTGGGGACTCTTAGCTCAGTGGTAGAGCTCTTGTCTAGTATATGACCTAGCATATGCCAGACCGTTTGTTCCTTAGCAACACATGCACACACACACACACACACACACACACACGCGCTGAACAGACACAGGTCAGTGTAAAGTGCTTGACTAGTGTGAATGAGGCCTTGAGTTCAATCCTTACACCTGAAAAAATAAAAACATACATATAAATAATAAATTTAAAAAATAATCACAGTCTTGGAGAAAGGGAAACTCAACAACTCAGCTGTACAGCTCCCCGGAAGCCCTGCTTGAAATCAATTTCCCAGCTAGTACAGCCAGCGCCACCTCGGGAGACCACAGCCACACTGGTAGGCACCAGAAGGAGGCACAGAGGGAGGGAGCTCCTGGAAGCAGCATGAAGGCCTGGGCTAAAAGCTAGGCTCTGCAGAGTGGCCGTTTACTAATGAGGAACTATGGGGCTGAGAGCAAAACACAAACGCTGAGTTCAGTGGCACAGAAAGGGCATCCCATAGGCAGTCAGCAAAACTAAACATCCACTGCTGCAACTTCCTGGGCATCCGGCTGATATACAAACGTGCGCAGGATGAGACCTTATGGTCTCACCAAGAATGAACCTAAACAGCCACAAGGAAGCACAGATTGGAGAGTCAAAGTCCTCGGGAAACAGCCTGCTCCTTTCACACTTGTGTAAAATAAAGCCTGCACAAGTTAAGGGTAGCCAGCATATAACTGAGAGCCCACTGAAATAAAAATCAACTCTTCACAGAAAATAACAAATTCAGAGTTTCTATCATATATCCACAAGTCCACTAGATCACTTTAAAATTATTAGAGGCAAAAAAAAAAAAAAAAAAAAAAAAAAAAAACCCAAAAAACAAAAACAACGTGCTGGGTATAGAGGCTGGGTGTAGAGACTGTATTCAGGGGCTGGGGCAGGAGGATCACTGCAAGTTCAAGGCCAGCCTGGACTACAAAGTGAGTTAAAGACAGCCTGCAATAAAACAATGTCTTGAAAAGACAAAAAAAGAAGAAGAAGAAAAAGAAGAAGAAGAAGAAGAAGAAGAAGAAGAAGAAGAAGAAGAAGAAGAAATGTGAGTCATCCAGAAAAAATATTCAACAGAAAATGATGCCAAAAGATTTTGAATTTAGCTTTAAAATACCCTAATAAATATATGAGGACTTTACATTAACACCTGGGAACTTGCTTTAAGAAATAAAAGCAAATATGTTAAAGAACCAGGAAAAATAGAGCCTCAATGAGTGAACAGAAGAAAACAGCAACAGAGAAATGAAAGCTGTACAAAACAATGGACTAGAAATGCTGTGACTGAAGAATGTGACAACTGAAATGAAAAGATCACCAGAAGGGCTTTGCAGTGCTGGGAGACAGAACTTAATGCCTGTGGACTGGGGCTCAGATCAACTCTCGAATAAGGGAAAAACAAACCTCCGAGACAGCCTGCTGAGTCTAACCCAGCTCAGCTAACAAGCAGAAATTACCAAAATTGGTTAAAAACTACATCCTAATTTCCGCAGTTTAAATGTCATCAAGTGAAAATAAAACATAGGAAAAAATACACCATGCTATAAAAGCAAGGACAGGGAAGTTAGAACAGCGATATAAACAGCAAAGCAGACTTCAAGACAAGGGTATTTCGAGGAATGCAAAGGCAATCTAGATAAGGAGGTAAGTCATCAGGCAGGCCTAATGCGAACACACTTGTATCTCCAATACAAGAGCAAATACTGTGAAGCGAAAGCTGACGGAACCAGAGAAAGAGACTAGTCTGCTGTCAGTTGGAAATTCAACACACAGTTTCAGTACTTGATAGAACAAGCAGATAAAACATCAGTGTGCATATAAAGGAAACACATCCTAGGTAGAACATGGTGACACGTGCCTCTAATCCCAGCACTTGGGAGGCTGAGGGGAGCCCCTGAAATCATGGGAAAATTTAACCGGGGGGGGGGGGGGGAGGGTACCAGGATCGTACTCATGACCCTGCTCTTGCTAGGCAGGCACTTTCACCACTGAGCTAAATCCCCAGCTCCAAAATGCTGTAAATTCAAAGCCAGCCTGGGCTACAAAGTGAATTAGAAGCCAGCCAGAACTGCATAATGAAATCCTGTCTCAAAAAGACAAAGGAAAAAAAAAATCCCAGAGTGAAAATTGCTTAACCAAACACTAATTACAAAAGTTAAGAGAGTCTATTATTTCTCTTTTTAAAATATTTTGAAATTTAAAATATTGAAAACTATAGCTTTTCACGAAAAGAGAGCTACATGCAAAAAGCCAACTTAGTGGTAACAAGAACTGCTTTCACCTAACTTCCACATCAAGGTAGGAGGCTGGAGTAACAACTCCCTTGATTTACGGTGCTTGTATTTTATGGAATGTTAACAACACAGAT